TCTTTTTATAAAAGATGACTATCATCTAAACTATCGTCAACTTAATAAGCCTGAAAAACAACCAGATTTAAACCATTTCATCATGTCGTCCAAGATACGAGAGCTCTGTAAAGATTTCTGCGGCTACAGCACTCTACATGGTCTGCATTTCTTGTTCGATTCGCCATGGACTATTCGTCGAGCCATCTGGTTCTTATTGCTGTTGGCTGCAAGCTGTATCTTCGGCTATCAAGCTCATGAGGCTTACATGAAGTGGAAGAAACACGACGTTTATATCATGACAAAGTTTGAAACTAAAAAGGTACGAACAAAAAAAAATTCCCATGTTCTGTTTACGTCCGTATACTGTCAATTTGTTGAGGCTTTTGTTGAGAGAATTTAGGCTTTGCCTCTGCTACTGACCGTAATTTATAAAAAAAATGAATCGATCCCTACTAAAAGAATTGTCCGATAGACCGTGTTACACAAGTCGTTGAATTTCCAAGCATTTTCTCAGATGGCCACAGAATGCCCAATTTGAGAATATTTCAATTGATATTTTGAAAGAAACACTTGGAAATGTTTTGTCGGCTGGTTGTCGGATGATATTTTTTTCAGTTCTACTACTGAAAACACAAACATTGCAAAAGCACAGTGTTTTCTATCTCTAAACGACTTTCAGTTTGTCGTCTTTTGCCGGAAGTCTGTTGCTCCTGCTCTAACCTTTTCTTGTCAAAATTATTACAGGTTTGATACAACCGTTTTCATGTGTTTCCTTCAAGGAATTAAAGTTCCCCGCTGTTACTGTATACAGCAAGAATTTGCTAAAAAAGAGCAAAATACTTGGGAAGGACGGACAGCTCTGGCTAGATGGACAAAACTATCAAAACAAAAAAGACTGGCCAAAAATCCACCGCAAAATAAACGCTTCGTTCGACATTGAGAAGGAAGTTCTTATAAATGGCCATCGTTCAATAGATGTCATCAAAGAAACTAGATTTGCTTCGTTGTGTCCAGGGCCCCAAAATAACGTAACGATCGAGAGCTTTTTGGGTGCGGGAGTAAGTAAATATGCCGTACGTTAGCTAATGCGCAATACGCGCGTATTTTAAAAAATACATCTTAACCATAATGATACGCTAAATACGCATGCAAATCCTACATTCTGATTGGCTACGCTACTCGGGGTCTATTTTCAATAGTCATCGACTAGTAGAAAGCGCCAACTTTGATTTTTTTTAGAAATATTGTGGGTCAAATCTTTGTGTTAAGGACAATTTTAAGTTTTTTTCACTCAAAACAATTTTCATCATCGTGCAGTGAAACTTTTCACTTGTGAGACAGGCCAAGTCGTCTCAAATGACGTCAGAGATAATTTTTGCAAATTTAATCTAACTAGTAAACTAGTAAGGTAATACTAAAACATTAGTCCACTTGCCCTCAAGGTCTAATTGTTAGATAGTAACTAAGACGTAAATGCGCGATATTTTGCGTACGTTAACGCGGACGCTATTGATGCGGACCTGTGCCTACCTCTAGAAATTACCACAAGCGCCGCTACGCCCCTGGGTCTGTTAGAGCGGATTTCGTATGAGTGGGAAACGGACGGTACTGTACTGTGACCGTAATCGTACTGTAACCAAATTCTAGTGCCCCATTGGTTCACCAAAATTGCGCAGGCCAGGTCCGGTAACTGTGCGGTAACCGTGCGGTAACGGTGTCCCACTCATACGAAATCCGCTCTATATTCGATACCATTAGAGATGGCATGCAGAATATATATTT